GTCTTATTTAGTAAATATTAAGAGTTTATTTATAATGAGTTATAAATGACTATGAACAAAATAAAAGAGAAAAATATTTTGCACACCCAATACTATAATGTTGTGTCCGCCATTGCAATTTAGGAACCAAGTCCGCATGTGCAGGGTACATAAGCCTGAGACTGAGAGTAAAGTGCTACAGTTACACAATATCATACCCATGTGGCCCTAATTTGTTCTTGATCCTCCCAATAAGGAACGACCATTTATGATGTGAACTCATCTACAATATGTCAAATTACCAATACCCCCATGGCCCCATCCCTTCTCGATTAACGAATCATGAGATGAGACTATAGAGTATAGACGCCCAAAAAAAGTGGGATCAAGTCCGAATACAAATATTCAAATAGCTTAAGTTAGGGTAAGGTGCTCGGTTTCGCGCAGCTGGAAGGGAGGAGGACGGGTGCGCATACATGGTGGTGCCCGTCGCCAGCGAAGGACCTGATGAAGACTTGGCGAAGAGATCGACAAGTCTAGACCTGTCCACCTGGCGACTGGCTTAGGGCGTGGGCGGAGACAGAGAGCGCGCGGGGGGGATGAACGTAGGAGAAAAGGCCGGTGACAAACAGAGTTTGGTGTTGTTTTGGCAAGGACCCTGTGGGCCTCGAGCAGGCCTATGTTCAACAGTGTGTGTAGGCCCGGTCATAAAAGGAAAAATTCCATGTAACCTCTTGCCAAAAGAAAAAAATTGCTCCTCCGCTGTGCTGAGGTTCCCCGGGTCCTCCTCTCACTGCCTTCTACCGTGCTGCTACATTGGCTCCTCTCCTCTCTTCTAACCAACAATCTCGTCGGTGGTCAGAGGACCAGGGACTGACCTCTTTGTAAATCTAGATTTGTTCTATATATTCTTTTAGAATTTGGTTTATGATGCCATTGACGAAATAGTGACGACAATAGCGCATTGAGATAAGATCTCTCTAGCCTTTCTTTACCTGTTGTTTGATCTGGCATCAACAAAGGCCCAGTGAGCGCATGGTTTGTTAGATCTATTCGTTCTCTTCAAATCTTAGCAGTTGATTTGCTTATCTTGGGAAGCAGTCGGTTGGCTTTTGATGCGGTGATTTTGACCTCTTCCTTCGGTCTATTCTACAACAAGGTTTGGCGTCTCCAACACTTTGGTCTGATGGTGAAGAATTATAAGCCTGTGTTCCTTAGTGGGTTCCTCTGACCGATGTTCTTTCAGTGGGCATTATATATTGTTGTCAACAACGAGTAGCTTTTGTGGTCTTTGAAGTCTTATTTAGCGATGGTGTTTGCAGGTGTCTTTTTTCTTTATTGTCTTTTCAACGGATGATCGAAGAAAAAAGACGTCCGACTTAGCATTTGATGTACTTTTATTTTCTAGAGGTTGTTTTATGTCTTATTGTCCATCTCTATCCTAGTCTTTATTTTCATTGATACATATAAAATCCGAGACACTATTTTAAGTGCCTTTATAAATTATAGACTCCTCTAACACTTGACCTCTCTAGAAGTGGTTTAAAAAGTGGTTGGTTTTCGAAAGGTAAATCGGACTTGCACAATAGTTTAAGGTGACGAATTAGACTTATAAAAATATAGAATTATTGTTTTGTAAAAATATTAAAATATTATTTCTAGAATAAATATTCATTTTAAAATTCTAAAGCCAGATTTAATATTGTAAATTTCATAGAAATTTTATTTTAACTCAGAAAAATATGAAATGAGTTTCATACTTTTCCAAAATAAACTACGCTCTAGTTTCTTGATCGATCATGTGCTCGTGCATATACCTAAAACAATAATGACGAATGAGAAAGTAGTCGCGTCCATACTGATGTTGTCGGCCAAGTCGCGGACGTCAGTTTAGCAGTCCGAGAAATCACACGTTGGCTGTCATTGATGGTGAAATGAGTCTGCACATGTCATCATTGTTTTGTCCTATAAAGAAGACAATGCTACTACAAAGCTAAACCACGTGATCCATATTGTTAATGTGCAATCAGAGCTTGATTTTTTTTTTTTTGATTTTTTTGTGCATATCCTGATGGTTAAGCAAGACATGGTCCATGGACATTTTTTATTTTACACGCGGGTTCCACGGTGATTCACGTTGTGGTCTGTAAGAATTTGTGGTGTGCATCCTTTGTTTCATATTTCGCCTAATTTCAGATTTTGGTAGACCATATAAGATGCAAAAAGTTATAAGCAAGGAGCCAAAAGGTAGAGCATGATTTTAGAAAAATATGAAACTTGTTTCATTTTTTTTTCCGAGATAAAACATTTTTCTAAAAAAATCTTATATTAAATCAGATGTTGGTATTTTTAAATGACATTTATTCTAAAAAATAATCACATTTTTTTGAAAAATATATTTTTTATAATTTTTTTATAAAGTATAATTGTCTCCCTGAACTATCACAAAAGTCCTATTTACCATCCTCATAGTTGACCATCTCGACATGGCATCACGGAGGACTACTGATGTGCCATGGGTCAGCCAAAACTACAATTAAAACTACTCAAGGAAGTAAATATGAGAATTTGAACAGTTGGATGAGTCTAAAGATATGGTTTGGGCAAATAAGATTCACGCAATAGTGGAATGAGGTCAAATAGACTTTTTTCCGTTGTAAAACACCGATTGTCTTTAAACCACGTCGTTTCTTTTTTTAAGTATATACTAGAAAATATGCCCACGTGTTGCTACTTAACATAAATTATGTTAGATCTCTGCACTGGGTACGCCTTATTATAGTAACTTTATGTTTAGAGAAATGTTACAACTTATTTGGTTTGTTCCTTCTGTACCATTGCAATGCCAATGCAAGTTGGTCCTTTACTCAATTGATAATTTCAAAATGACATTACATTTATATTTGTTAATTAGTATACGCATTCATAATTACTTGTTGAAAGCAATGTAGATGTGATATTGCAATATAAAAATGCCAAGTTCAAGAAGCCGACAAGATAAATATCTGAATCACCTTACCATACACAGCTTGTTATGGGATTTATATACAAATTAAGATATGGTTGTTGTACAAATTGCAAATTCATAATACTTTGAAGTTTCAAAATATCTTATTAATAAAAAGAACAGGTATGAAATATGCATGCTTCACACATCGAATGAATATTAAGTTGCTACTTTTTCTCCCTCAACAAAGAAAAAAATGGAGAATATAAAAAACAACATCTACCATGGACTGCATGGTAAATTCAGTTCGACAAAGAAATAAGGGTCTATTTGGTACAGCTATGAGTTATATGAAAAGGTTGTTACGAGCTATGAGGTATGGAAAAACTGTTTTGAGTTATGTACTGTGGAGAAGTTATAGATGTTTTGTTGAAACAACTATGAAGCCAACTCCTTCTATCTTTCTTAAGACAACTGTAAAATAATTCTCTATTTCCGATCATTTGAAAAAGTCAAAAGCTAAAATCAGAGTCAAGATGCTGCAAAAATTATATTACCTCAATCCTCGAGACAGGCAGCGGCGGTGCAAGAGAGAGGTAGCGGTAACATCTTTTTTTTTAATCGTGGAGGAGGAGGCGGCATCCGGAAGGAGACAACGTTTGACTCGACTTTTTTTTTTTGACAACACGTTTGACTCGACTTGAGCTGATCCGAGAGACGTGCATGCGCGTATTAGGAACCATGGTCATCCCCGTCGATACTACAGAGTATAGCGTAGAGAAATACAAGACGTGCAACCGTCACACATAAAAAATGACAAGTTTATGCACCGAAATAAACAAAATATAAGATGTTGGGGGTAAGCTGCACCCACCTTTCTAGTTGTTGTACGATGAACACAATTTACTCCTTTTATAATAGTTGATACTTTGTCCAGATTTATAACTACTCCTTCCGTCTCAAAATAAATACACATCTCATTTACTAAGGAGTCAAATTTTTTTAAAGTTTGACCAAAATATGTATATAAAAATATACTTTCCTTATCTAAAAAATGTATATAAAAATATACTAATATTTATGATGTACAACAACTATTATTAGATCGGGCATACAATATAATTTCATAACAAACTTATCTAGAGATACGATTGATACAATTTTTTATATTTTTAGTCAAATTTAAAAAATTTAACTACCACATAAGTGAGATGTGTATTTATTTTGAGACAAAGTGAGTAATTGTTAACCCTTGTTTTGACTTTTATAGATATGGAAGGGCTAGCGTCCGCACTTCCGGCTGTCGGAGGCTTCTGGACGCTGCTCCCCGTTCGAACGCATCGGGCCTGCGTAACAAGGTCGTAACAGACTTGAGTGTGCCCGCCTCACCCCGCCTGCGGATGCGCGCCGCGGAGCCGTCTGTCGGCCACAAGCGCCTGCACGATGACCCACAGCGGCTCCCCAGCAACAGTAGCAGGTGGTTGCGGCAGGCCGCTATCCCCCAGCCACCGAGGCCATTGCAACATGTGCTCCCCCAGATCTACTTTTAAAACATCCAGTTGAAACACGTGCAACATATGACTGAAAACAGATGAAACACTTGAAACATATGCTTCAAACATGTGTGTATAGCCATAGCAACATGTACAACATCTAGATCTACTTTTATAACATCCAGATAAAACACTTGCAACATAAGTATGAAACACTTGAAACATGCGCTTGAAACATGTATCTTATGCAACATTGAGATATACTTATCTAACATCTAGATGAAACACTTGAAATATATGTCTGAAAACTACTGAAACACTTGAAACATAAGCTTGGAATATACGTATATTGTCATTGCAACATATGCAACATCTCATGATCTACTTTGCAATATCCAGATGAAACACTTGAAATATGAGTTTGAAACGCTTGAAACACAAGAAACACAACGTCACTGGCCTACCTGGTGGGGAAGTTCAGTAGCTAGCAAGCTCGCGGTCCCTCCTTCCCAAGCCTCCGCCACCCCCAAAGCCCCTCCTTCTCCTTGCTCTCGTACGAGGGTGAGTACCGCACAACCATCATGAGCCTCGCCGACGGCGCCCGCGCCCACGGCCTGGCCAGGAACCACACTGACGAGGAGGAGCCCGAGGCATGGAAGGCGGCGTCGGGTCGGAAAGACACGCGGGACACTGCCGGCGCGAGGGCGAAGTCTGCGGCGACATCGACCATGGCCAGCGGTGGCCGAGCGTGGGCACGGCAGCAGGCCTTATCTGTTTCGAATGAAAGTAACGAGTGGAGTGGAGGGGATGACTCTCGGTGGAGAATGGGAGTGATATTTTTGAGAGAGAGAGAGAGAGAGTAGGCGCAGACAAAAGAAACGCGGCGCCCGAATGGACGGACGCCCTGAGGAGAGCATTACCTTTGTAACTTTCTATGGAATCTTGGCAGTTTGTAGCAGACACGTATCAATCGGCAGCACGCGACACTACTACACAAATGAACTTGCGCAGCGTTGCATAATTGGCCTCCGTGACGGACACTGTTTTTGCCCGCCATGGTAATTCGGTAGCCGACCGGCCAATGAGACGCCCGCTGCGGTAAATGATTTACAGCAGCGGGCAACCTTATTTGCCCGCTGCGGTAAATCTCCATTTACCGTAGCGGACATCTTAACGCGTCTGCCACGGTAAATTGATTTACTGCAGCGGGCAACCTTATTTGTCCGCTGCGGTAAATCTCTATTTACCGCAGCGGGCAACCTTATTTGCCCGCTGCGGCCGCCACGGTAAATCGATTTAGCGTGGCGGCACACTAAAAGGCCCGCCACGGAAAAAAGGCAACGCCCAAATAGCCCAGCGCCGGCCCGATACTTGTCTTCATATATAAGCCAGCACTTAGGTGCCCTTTCACTCCTCTCACCCCCTCGCCCTCCCTCTCACTCTTCTCAGACGCGGCCGCACTCCCTTCCCACACGCTGCATCCTGAGACTACAGCGGTGGCCCGTCCTCCACCAGGCTACAGCGGCGCGGCGTCGTCTCGATCCGCCTCCAGCGACGGCCACGGCGGCGGATCTGCCTCGGCGAGGGCGTATTCGGCCCCGGCGAGGGTGGATCCGGACCCGGTGGCTCCACGGCGTCGATCCGACCACCAGCGGCTCCACGGCGTCGATCCGGCCACCGGTGGCTCCACGGCGTGCATCCACATCTAGCGCCCCTCTCCCTCGTGCGGATCTGGCCCCCTTCTTCCTCCCTGGCCAGATCTGGTGGGAGGCGGCCTCCCCATCCCTCCCTGACGACGGCGGCGGGCAGTTCTAGGTGGAGGGCTGCCGGATCCTATAGGAGGGCGGCTGGATCCGACGGATCCCGGCCGGATCCGGTGAATGCCGCGACGGTGGCGCTGCCAATGCAGGTACAGGTCTCTCTTCGTCTCCCTCGCTCTTCTCTCTCCGTCTCCCTCACTGTGCCCTCTCTCCTTTCCCAGATCTAGAGCAGCGACGACGCCGGAGTCGCGGTGGCGGCGCAAGACGCGGATCTTGTGCTGCTCGGCGCCCTCCTCCTTTCCGCCTCATCTTGGCAAATGGCGCAGCAGAGGCGGGCCGCTGTTGGATCCAGCGACGACGATGGCGGCGCTAGGGTTTCGGTTTGGGATTGGGCTCGCCGGTGGGCTCAATCAATGGGCTCGCCGGTGGGCTTTGGGTTTTTTTGTTTTTTCCAAACGATTAGCCAAGGCGGTCGGTGTAACGTGCCCGTCGTGGTAAAAGTATATTTACCACGGCGGGCACGTTACACCGCCCGCCGTGGTAAATCGGTTAACCGCGGCGGGCAAGGCCGCCCGCCGCGGTTAAGCCACGATTTACCGTGGCCTCTAGGCCGCGGCGGACGGCTTTGCCCGCCGCGGAAAACCGAAAACGCCCGCCTCCAGTAAAGTTTTTGTAGTAGTGCGAGACCTAGAAATGCGATGCGCACGACAAACACGACAAACCCTGAGGAGAGCTTTTGACTAAGGGTATGTTTGGTACAGCTATGAGCTGTATGAAAAAGTTGTCATGGGCTATGAGCTGTGAAAAAGCTTTTATGAGTTCTGTACCATGTAAAAGCTATAAGATGTTTGGTTGAAACAACTATGAAACCTATCTTCACTCTATCTTTCTTGAGACAACTGTAAAATATCTCTCTATTTCTACCTATTTAAAAAAATCAAAAGCTAAAATCAGGTCCAGTAAAAAATATTTTACCCAAAGCTCATTTTCAAGACAGGCGGCGGCGGTGCAAAGGGAGGCAGCGGCAACATCTTTCTTTTAATCGTGGAGGAGGAGGCAACAGGAAAGAGACAACGTTGATTCGAGTTGAGCTGATCGGAGAGACGTGCATGCGCGTAGTAGGAGCCATGATCATCCCCGTCGATACTACAGAGTATAGCGTAGGGAAATACTAGACGTGCAATCTTTGCACTGTCTACGCATCAAAATGACAAGTTTATGCACCAAAATAAACAAAATACAAGATGTTGGGGGTAATCTACACCCACCTTTAGTTGTTGTACGATGAATCACAACGTACTCCTTTTAAAGTAGTTGATAGTTTGTCTAGATTCATAATTACTCTCTCTGTTCCAAAATAATTACTCATCTTATTTCTAAAGAAGTTAATTTTTTAAAAGTTTGAATAGGTATATGTAAATATACTAATTTTTATGATGTATAATAAATATGATTAGATTGGATATAAAATATACTTTCATATCAAATTCATCATAAAATACAAATGTTGCACAATTTTTTATATTCCTAGTTAAATTTTAAAACTTTTAACTATATACTACGATATGTGTATTTATTTTGACAGTTTACACAAGACACGTACAGAGACCTAGAAACGCGACGAGCACGGCAAACACGACGCTGGCAGGCGCAGCCAGCAGGTAGTAGGACAGCGTGGCGATGGAATCGAGATAGAGACATACTACAGCCATACTCCCCCATCCCAAAATAACTATCGTTCTCGTTTTCTGAGAAATAACTTTCACTAATTTTATATAAAAAAGTATTAATATTTTTGATACATAATTTATATCATTAGATAGATCGTTGAATTTATTTTTATAAAAAATTTATTTAGAAATACAAATGTTGCATGTATTTTTTATAAATTTAGTTAAATTTACGACACGAAACCTAAACCGACTGTTAATTTGGGACGAAGGGAGTACAGGGCAGCTGCGCCTGTTCCCTTCTGTTGCGTTCTCTTGGTGGCTGCACTGCATTGGTAAACCCTGGCGGAGACGGAGTAACTGCATAGTATAACGAGCAGAAATGCTATATAATACATATGTGTTTTAGCATAAAAAAACATATGGATTTTTTCTCTCTCCCTCTCTCTGTTCTGCTGACGCCGCGCAACGCACGCACGCGTCCTCCGATCCCGCCCGCTCCGTCGCTATGTCCAATCGAAGCGATTGAGTCGCTGTCACGCCCCGGCCCCGGCCCCCGCCCGCACCGTGCCACTAGCTGCATCTCGGACGAAGCTGTGCCCGCACTGTGCCTCCAGGTAGGTCCCACCTCCTCCTCCTCTGCGATCTGTGATTTATCCTTCCATAGAAAAAAAATTATTTCTTGTGATCTGTGGATCTGTGATTTTGCGATTTGTGATTGTCTGGAGATAGAAGAAGGCTACAGGCTGAAGGTAGAAGAAGAGTGGAGACTGTTAGATCTTAATTCTATAGTGTAAAAAAATTTATATGTTAAAACTATATAAAACACGTTGTTGCGTTGACAGACTCGTACCGAATCCCGCCGAGATCAGATCCAGGATCCACCGCCCCCAACAACTTTTACCTGTGCGCGCCTGCTGCCGCCTGACTATTCGCCCATCAGGCCATCACTATCCGATCGCTCTAGCTGCGGCCTGCGGCGCGGCGGCGCCTGCCCTGCCAACGACGACATACGGTGGCCGGGCCGGCGGCAGATCGGCATCGCTCACGCGCCGAAATAAACTTTCAAAGAAAGCGGCGGGGCCCCGCGCGGCAGGCCCATGCAAAAATGACAAATCCGCGTGGGCCGGTGCGGATCCAAAAACTTGCACCCTTGGCCAGGGCCGGGCAGAGGCCTGACGCGCCGGGCGCTCGAGCTCGACCGCGTGACGCCAATGGCTCCATGCATGGCAGAGCGACCTGTGCTGGCCTGTTGGCTTCACGTCCCGCGCGACGCCAATACTGCGCCGTGGCCACCTCCTGCGTCGCCTTCAGATCGCCCCGTCGCCACCTCCTGCCGAATTGTCGCGGCCCTAGCTAAGCTCGTGCCGGAACACGAGAGCCGCCTGTCGATCGATCATCGATCGACCTGCTGCGCGCGACCGATCGAGGCCCTTAGAGAGTTTGGACGCACGCGCGTGGCGTCTTCCCGAGGCTCGCTGCGGCCGCATGCGTGACAAGCGACTGAGCCAACTAGTACGTCGTTGTACACAGGCGCGTGACGCGTGACATGAGGCAGATTTGTTCGGTGGGGGTGGTGGAGACTGGTAACGAACGGCTCAATATTTGCCGTTTCGACGTAGGATTTTTTTTGTTTTTGTTTTTAGCTAAAGCAAGAACTTTTCTCATTAATAAGGAGTAGAGAAAATGTCTCAAGTCAAGGTCTGAGTACCAAGTGCTCCAGCGCTGTACGTAGTAAGCCCCATGCACTAGCCATTGCTTCACCACACAAAAAATGATTTCAGGAGACAGACAAATTGATTAACGGAGGTGGGTATAAATTCGACGTGTCTCAAAAAATACAAATGTACTTCTATGCCTCTTCGGATCTTTTGCAGACACTTTCATTTCCTCTTTTATGCACATGCATGTATTATTCAACCTCTAGCACTTGCGTTGTTGCTGCCTTTGATTAGGTGTCATGTTTGCATACATCGCGCTATTCCTTGCGCAAGCAGAGCCATGACTTGCTCTTTCGTTAACTGCCTCTTATATTACACGGAACATCACAATTGTTTATAACCTCATTTGAATCAGGGTATGTACATTGTGATTGCAGTTGATCTATTATTGTTGAAGTCGTCACCTACGTACGTGTAGTTGAGTTGGAATTAAAATTCTTAAACAACATAGCAAAATAACACATAAACATAGGCTTTTCTTGACTATTATCGCATCATAACTACTTTGCAAAACCTCAAAATGTCAATTCCATGTTGGTGGTTATGCCTATCCTGGCTCATTCCACGTGTGAGTGGGGCCATAAGCCGATTTTGGAAGGGGCGTTACAATGATGATTGTATCAATTTTCATGCCA